AGTTGAGGTTCGGTGGAAACGACAAGAGTCGAGTTCGTGTTGCCAACATAACAAATCCAAATTGCATTGTGTATCACGTGTTGTATTAATCGGTGTAGAAGAGGTTATTATTACTTTTTGTCGGTGATCTTGTAATCTGAGAAATAATTTTTGTATGTTATTTTGATATTGCTCTCCTTTACATGTCAGAATATGGTAGTTGACTTTGTGCAGTTGGTAATGTTCAACCCTGCCGCAACTCCAACCCGCGACTCAAACCCGACTCTAACCCGACTCTGACCCGATTTGAACCCTCGATGGAAACGTAGTCATAGAGTCGTTTTGGCTCGCGTAATGCGTGTTTTTTCGTAACATCATATTTACCGTCCTTGTCTTTCCTAACCAAAAACACAGTAAATAGACAGAAAACATTCGACGAACTTCACACCGCTCGATCTAGTGAATTTCTGGACTCTTAAAATCCCTAAGTCTTCATTCCAACACCGCTCACATGCAACAGTGCCATGAAACTATTCTAAATTACAGTAAAATACAACCTAGAAGCAAATCTTGTTTTATGATTATTTTATGATTGTATGCAACACCATTTGCAGCTTTCTTGGTTAGATTTGTAGTTTACTGAAGATTTACCGAAGATATAGATTATATTGACTTTTTAAATAAATTCAGTAAAATTAATTACCATGTATGATGATTATAATGAGGTAAGTGTTAAATAAAAAATAATATTTGAATACAGAAAATTATATAAAAATAACAATATGGAATTAATACTAGGTTAACATAAATTAATATTTATATAATTTTTTTAGTATGATGCATACGATGATTATGGACCACCAGATGTTCATAATGATCAATATGATAGATTAACTTATCGTCAAGTGCCAGAAGTTGTACGAAATTTTCTGGTATTTTTACGAAATTGTATAAATGAAGGAATGATTTTTGATATACAAAATTTATACGAAACCTCATTTCCAAAAATTTCGGAACAATTATTTGATAAGTCTTCCTGGCCAGATGCACAAGCAATTGCACACATAGTTGATAATGATCCAGTATTCCTCACATTATATAAAGAGCTATATTATCGTCACATTTATGCTCGAATGCAAGGACCAACATTAGAACAACGTATTGGTTCTTTTTATAATTACTGTGATCTGTTTAATTATATTTTACATCCAAATACACCTGTTCAACTAGAGTTACCTGATCAATGGTTGTGGGAACTTATTGATGAATTTGTTTATCAGTTTCAATCTTTTGCACAATATCGTGCTATCTTGTCAAATAAAACACCTGAAGAAATTGAAAATTTAAACACACATAATAAGATATGGGATGTACTATGTGTTTTAAACGTTTTACATTATTTAGTTGACAAATCAAAAATCAAGAGCCAATTAGAAGTATATGCAAGTGGTGGAGATCCAGATTCTGTAGCCGGTGTATTTGGAAGACATTCTTTGTATAAAATGCTTGGGTATTTTTCTCTCGTAGGATTGTTACGTTTACATTCCCTTTTGGGAGATTATTACCAAGCTATTAAAGTATTAGAAAATGTTGAACTTTATAAAAAAAGTGCATACTCTCATGTTCCTGGTTGTCAAATATCAACAGCGTATTATGTTGGTTTTGCTTATATGATGATGCGTAGATATGCAGATGCAATAAGAACATTTTCTGGCATTCTATTATATATTCAAAGAACAAAGCAATTATTTGCAACAAGAAGCTTCCAGAATGACCAAATAAATAAACAAACAGAACAAATGTACCACTTATTAGCAATTTGTCTTGTTCTTCATCCACAATGCATAGATGAAGGATTACAACAAGCATTACGAGATAAAAATTATCATGAAAAAATGTATAAGATGCAATATGGAGATCTTGTTGAATTTGAATCATGCTTTCTATTTTCATGTCCAAAATTTTTGTCTCTTACACCACCAAATCCTGATAATCCAACTGAAGATTATGTTCGAGAAGCAATCAAACACCAAACACAAGTTTTTATGGATGAAGTTGTTCAACAAAAGATGTTACCAACAATTCGTTCATATTTAAAATTGTATACTACTTTACCATTAAGTAAACTAGCTACATTTATGTGTAGTAATACAAGGCCTGATGAAAGTTGGGATTTAGATAAAGAAGTTAGTGCATTAACTATTCATTTACTGTGTTTTAAACATAAAATGAAAAATATTGTATGGACAAAAGGTGCATCAGGTTTAGATGGCAAATTTCAATCTGGATCTGAAGTAAGTTTTTTTTTAATATGATATTTATTATTGCAATCCTATTAAGTACAAATAAAAAATAATAACTTTGTGTATTATTACAGTTGGATTTTTACATCGATCATGATATGATTCATATTGCTGATACAAAGGTAGCACACCGTTATGGTGACTTTTTTATTCGAAAAATATTAAAATTTGAAGAATTAAACCGCAAATTACATCATATTAAAATTTAGTTATCATTTTTGTAATGATATAAAATAATGTAGAATAAAAACATTTATTAAAGACTCCTGTGTGTTTGTTATTTTACATAATTATAAACATAAAATTATAAAAATTAAACACCTGTAAGCTAATTAAAATGATTCGATGAAAGGGTGAGATATCACCGAACAAATTTAGTGGGTGCATTTAAAATACTAGATTTCTGTATTCTGTCCTCTCACAGCAGTTGTCAGTACAAAACTGCCCTTGGCAACATAAATTTGTTCTTAGGACAGCCTTTTAGCATGCCTGTTGTTTAGGGCACTTGAACCCACAGAAAGTTCCTTTAGGAAGGGGAAGCACACTGATAAAAAACACATGACCTGCCTTCACTGTTCATTAATTTCTATTTTTCCAACACACTTTAATATATTTTAAAGACATATAATACAATCTTACATTAACGATATATGTATTGCATTGATATTATGCCATATCTATTGACATAAAATAAAAGATATAACTAAATAAAATGGTTAAATAGGTTTTGGAGCCAAATGAAACATACAATATGTTCTGTGATAGCATATCCATAATAAATCTCATACCAATTCTTAACTCCTATCTCAATTTAAGAGGAAGGAAGTAGGACAGTAAACTTTTGATATAAGCGAATCTTTCGGGTCTGAACTTTCGTTTACATACTGTAGTTTTTACACTGATTGAAATTTACAGAACGTAGACAAAAATAGCAAGCAAAACAATATGTATGCTGTTAGCGTAATCATACAGGTTCTATATTGACTGACGTTTTTCTGAACGTAAGAAAGGACAGAATATACTAATCATTCTATACATATAAGCAAAAATGTTATCTCCACCATTGGGGGGAAGGACATTTCGTCGAGAAATGTAAAGTTGGATGCAAACAAACGCGCTGTAGTTACAATGCGATATTATAAGGTGTACACATTGCTTAAGTTTTACCACGAACACGTGCCGCGCATTTAAACTGTGATGTTTGGTTTGGAAATAGTTTGTCGAAACTGAGTTTACCGGATAAGGTATCACTTAAAAGAAATACATTTCAGAATCGATGTTCGTAGAAAAATATAACTTTATTACAAAATGTCACAATACGACTGTAACAGTTAATGTGTTCGGAAAATCTTAGATTGGCTGTAGAACGGAGAAGTAGGGCTATTTATGAATTTTAGGAACTTGCTTTGTATGGTGACTGTGTAGATAGAAAAGAAAAGATCGTTTCGGAAAGCTATGAACTATGAACTATGACTATGATGGCGGAAAGAAAGGAGAGTTGAAAGGTAAACTGTTAATAATGTTGGACGTTGGCGACAGATGAGTATAAACATTTGGTTAAGTCAAGAGTGATTAAAAATATTAAAAGTGTATAACAGAACGAATCATGAACGCACCTAAGCTCGAATATAGGCTCCAACGTGGTAAACTTGAAGAAACCGTCCACATTGCGGTCATGAATTCCTCTGTGTTTCGGAATATATTTGTCTGAGCGAGGCGAAGCCGAGCGAATATTCTAAATAAAAACAACTTTAAGTTCAATACTGAACAAAATCGGATAAAAATTAAAGGAGTTAGACTTAATTTTAGCCCAGAACGAGGTCCTTTCACTAGAAATAACAGAAATCTGGTCTTTTCTCCTTGGTGAACGTCTCATTAGACTATTTGAGGTCCTAAGAAGGTCGAAAGGACCAGTTTAATTAGTTAGGCGAATATCTTTAGTATCCCGGCTTTTTCACCAGAGGAATTAAGGAAGTGGCGCGTCAATCTTTTTGGCCTAGCATAGGTTCTGAAGACAATATTCGAGATACTTTTCCGAAAATTTAGAGACGACTTAGGAGTCTGGTTTCAAACAACTTTTTAATCGGGTTAGCTCCCTTGGAGGACATACTCAGGTACATATATATACAATGGAAGAAAAGGGGCTAATATTTTTTCTTCACATGATTATTTATTATAAAAGTATTCTTTCTTAAAACTCTCTTTTAGCCGAAAACCATTGCATAAAAGCAAGCCTAAGTATGCCACATCTGAGGAGAACAAGACATATGTTGCATTTTCAAGAGCAAAAAGGTTCGAAGACATTGAACTACTCTCATATCCATCTTGGGAGCGTCTTGACTTGATAAGAAGGCAAAGAGAATTTAAAGAGAGAATTGAGTTTATCAAATCAAAATGGAGCTCTGGGGAAGAACAAAGGGGATAATAAAAAATGGTTAGTTAATAGAAAAATTTATCTAGATAAGTAAATCCAATATTGTTTGTCTTAATTAGACTGATGAATCGAAGCGACTGTATGTCGGCTTTGATTGAATTTAATTTATTATTAAAGTCTTGCTGTCAGCAGCGCCCTCACTGATTGTTTAAAAAATGAATATTTTATTGATAAACCGGGAGTAAGTTTGCAAAAATATTTATTCGGTCAGTGTGAGTTACGCTTCGCCTCGCTCAGACTCCACTGTGAGCAGTACTCCTAGTATATTATCCACATTATAAACAATTAAGACATTTTAAATAAACTCTTTTGAACCTTTTTCATTTTTAAATCGAGTGAATATTTCTATTCAATTACCTATAGTCGGTAAAGTAGGAGTCCTGCTTTGTTAAAGGCCCCCACATTTGGTGACCCGCGACTCTTAAACGCGCAGAATAAAGTTCGCGAGTGATTGTGAAAAGCAACGAGAGTAAAAAGCGACGCGGAAAAATGGCGGTTTCACACTCTCCATCAAAGGACGCGGTCTTGCACAAAATGGCGGACAACAAAGAAGCGTCAACCTTCGCCGAACCCGCCATTAATGCAGCGTCTTTCCAGAAATTTCCGCCCTTTTGGAAGGAAAATCCTAATGTCTGGTTTGCGCAAGTCGAGGCAACGTTCGACTTAGCGCGAATTACGAGCGACAGCACTAAATATATCAGCAAGTAGTCACGCAACTGGACCACGAGGTACTGCCATTCATCGCCGACGTCCTTACATGCCCACCGGCGAAAGGGAAATATGAAGAGGTCAAGCGCAGAATTATTAATGCGTTTGACGAATCGTCCGAATCGAAATTGCGTCGAGCGCTCCGGGGATACGATTTAGGCAGCGACAAGCCATCGCATTGTCTGCAAAAGTTACGTAATCTCGCAGGAGGCCAGATCGGGGAGGCCGTGCTTCGCACGTTGCTTTTGGAGAATTTGCCCGAAAGCGTCAGGAGCATTTTGGCAATAAGACATAGCGGATGTCAGCAAATTAGCTCTACTGGCAGATAAAATTGTTGAAATGTACGCGCCTACAGTCGCGACGGTGGATGCACCAAAGGCACCGTCAACGGACCGGATTAGCAATCTGGAGGATCAGATTTCTAGATTGACCAACATGGTGGAATCCCTTAGCATGCAGCAGGCGAAACAAAGGGATCAGCGATTTCGCCAACCCTGGCGGCCACGTTCGCGATCAAGGAGCCGACAGCCTTTCTGCCGTTCGAGTTCCCAGGAAGCAAGGACCAATCTTTGTTTTTATCATAGAAAATTCGGCGACAGGGCTTACCGTTGCGTAATATCCTGTGGATGGACGGGACCTCCACCAACCGGCGCAGCGCCATCTAATACGGCGTCGGGAAACTAGGCGACCAACCCCGAATAGAGACGGCGTCGGATGGCTACGAGAGGAATTGTCGTCTCATCATTAAGGATAGGACAAATAATTTAAGCTATTTAATAGATACCGGGGCAGATATTTCTGTATTACCCTTTCAGACGGTAAAAGGAAAATCTACCCCGTCTAATTTTAAGGTTTTTGCAGCTAATGGTACTCCAATTGACACGTTCGGTACTCGTAATGTAACTATAGATTTAGGTTTGCGGCATCCTTTTGCCTGGGAATTTCTACTGGCTAGGGTGAAACAACCGATTATTGGCGCCGATTTTTTAAAACGGTACGGTTTTCTGGTCGATTTGCGCAATAGACGACTGATCGACGGACTTACCAACTTACGGACCACGGGATTGACAGTACATTCCACAGAACCGACGTTAACCACAGTCGACTCTACTAACAGGTATTCCGCGCTATTAAAAGAATTCATCGACGTGACGCGGACTGTACAGAAACGGGACAACCCGACCCATCAGGTACGGGATTATATCACGACTAAAGGCACTCCGGTAGCTGGGAAGGCACGTAGACTGCCTTCAGAAAAGCATCCAAGCTTCCAAAACAGAAAAGCTGCCTTAAGGCAGCAAGAGCCGAAATAGATACGTTACTTTCACAAGGAATTTGCCAACCGTCCAGCAGTCCGTGGGCTAGCCCGCTGCACCTTGTAAAAAAGAAAAACGGTGATTGGAGATTGTGCGGAGATTATAGACGCTTAAATAGTATTACAATTCCTGATAAATACCCAATTTCGCACATTCATAATTTCTCATACAATTTAAACGGGACAAAGATTTTTTCTACGTTAGACTTAGCCCGCGCTTATCACCAGATACCTATCGCACCAGAAGATCGTCCAAAAACAGCGATAATAACGCCATTCGGTTTATTTGAGTACAACGTCATGACTTTCGGACTTAAAAACGCAGCACAAACCTTCCAGCGTTTTATGGATGCTGTGCTCCGCGGTTTACATTTTGCGTTTTGCTATATCGACGATATTTTGATAGCTTCCAAGGATGACGTCGAACACGAATTACACCTTCGATTAGTATTGGAGAGGCTGCAGCAATTCGGCATTTCGATAAATACAGCAAAGTGCATTTTTGGCGCAAGTTCGGCACAATACCTGGGGTACGTCATCGATAAAAAGGGAATCAGACCTGTACCGGAAAAAATTCAAGCGATTAGCGAGTATCCACAGCCAAAAACGATAGAAGAATTACGCCGATTTTTAGGCATTTTAAATTTTTATAGACGTTTCGTTAAAAATGCTGCAGCCATACAAGCTCCTTTGTATAGATATTTAGTAGGGGCTAAAAAACGCGACAAGCGTTTTGAATGGACACCAGAAGCAGTGAATGCGTTCAATGAATGTAAGGCTTCATTGGCAAACGCAACACTGTTGGTACATCCAACTGACAACGCGCCGTTAATTTTAGCTACTGATGCTTCAGATTCTGCGATAGGTGCAGTGCTACAACAGGAGGTAAACGGTAAATGGGAACCCTTGAGATTTTTCTCAAAGAAATTTACCCCATTTAGCATTTAGCATTTTAAACATTTAGTTGACGGACGTAACTTCACGATACAGACTGACCATAAACCAATAGTTTACGCATTTCAACAAAAATCTGACAAAGCCTCACCTAGACAGTTACGACAATTAGATTTTATTTGACAATTTAATACGCATATTATACATACTTTAGGCGTAGATAATAAAGTGGCTGATGCCTTATCACGATTGAACGTTATTAGTATGTCAGTCGTGTTAAACACACAACAGTTAGCCGAACAGCAAAAAAGCGACTCAGAATTACAGCAATTATTACAAGGTAATACAGCACTGCATCTAAAGCAACTCAGAGTAGATGATTCAGACGAAGCAATTTACTGCTATATTGCATATGATAATATTAGGCCATATGTGCCAGCAGTGTTGAGAATGCAAATATTTAATAATGTTCATAACGTTTCACATAATTTTTTTTTTTTTTTTTTTTTTTTACGGGGGGAAATCTCCTACAAGACGCCCCCACTCCCCGGGAGAGGAGTGGGGGTAGTGTGGGATTTTTACCCACTAAAACCCCTCGGTGATGCCCACCCTCGGCGGCATGACGGGCTATGGGTTCGTGCGATATTCGGCGCCACGGCCCGCCAAAATGCCACCATGCGACAAAAGCGTCGCCCTTCTCGTGGGAAGGAGAAGCCTCCCCACAACGATACTAAGTCCCACCCCACCCTTATCGGAGCCGACGACGTCATCACGCCCGCCGTCGTCTCCACACACCTGACCGCGTGCAATGGTGCCATGGGCCCCCGCCCATGACACCTGCGGCCATGGCGGCCTCGGTCAATCCCGGGAACTCCGACACCCCGGACCAAGACCGCCGAACGTTTCACATCCTAGCGTTCGACGACCAAGAAGCTGATTGGCAGCAGATTCGTCTGGCCCAAAATGAATAAAGACATTTTGCGCTGGGCTAGAACCTGCATTCCATGCCAACGCAGCAAGGTCGGCAGGCATATAATTAATCCTCCACAGCGTATGGTTGTTCCAGAGGACCGTTTCAAACATATACATTTAGACTTAATAGGTCCATTACCACCAAGAGACGGTTACAGGTACTGTTTAACAATGATTGACAGATTCTCCCGGTGGCCTGAGGCAATACCAATTAAAGATATGACAGCCAAAACTGTTGCTGTAAATTTTTGTAATACTTGGATCACAAGATTCGGAGCTCCAGCAACGATTACAACCGATAAGGGTTCACAGTTTGAAGGAGTACTTTTCAAAGCTCTCACTAATTTAATTGGTTGTAAACACATCCACACCACAGCTTATCATCCAGCTTTAAATGGCATGGTGGAAAGATGGCACAGGTCATTAAAAGCAGCCATTATGTGCCATGAAAGTAGTAATTGGACAGCAGTTTTGCCTACGGTTCTATTAGGTTTACGAACTAGCTTTAAACAAGACATTCAAGCAACAGCAGCAGAAATGCTGTATGGTGTACCCCTCAGACTGCCAGGAGAATTCTTCGTCGACACTCAAGCACAGGACAATTTTAGTTTAGACAGTTTCAGAGATTACATGCAACAGATCAGACCTAGACAAACGGCACACCACTATAAACGGAAATACTTCATCCCTAAGAGTTTACATGACTGCACACACGTTTTTATCCGTATTGACGTTGTTAAGAAACCACTGGAGCAACCATATGAAGGACCTTATAAAATTGTAAAGCGTGTCACGGATACCACCTTTTTAGTAGATATTAAAGGAAATCAAGTGGTACTTTCGACGGAACGGTTGAAACCAGCGTTCATCGAAAAAGATGCTCATAACCTTGCAGATACGTATTCTAGAGTAGTATCACAGTATAAGAAAGCACAGCAGGTTCACTCTACCCAAAAGTGGCTTAATATTTGTCACTCGCGCATGACCGAATCGCACAACCAGCAGGTTGTGTGGTTGTGAATGGCTGGTAATAGCACATGTGCTCGTTATTATTGTAATAATTTATAAGAAAATTAAAAACTATTTTCTAATATTTCTTTTCGCCCGCCATACTTCTACCACAGTATAAGAAAGCACAGTAGGCTCACTCTGCCCAAAGGTGGCCTAATATTTGTCACTCGCGCATGACCGAATCGCGGTTGTGAATAGCTGGTAATAACACATGTGCTCGTTATTATTGTCACCTACTTTTTCAAATAAATAAATAAATATATATATATAATGTGCGAAGCAAAATGGTGTTGTATAAAAGGCTGTCAAAGTGCAACGAGTGAAAAACGTGGAATAAAAGAAACTTTGTTTAGATTCCCGAAAGATGTAGAAAGGTTAGTTTATTATGTTACTTATCTTGTATTTATTATAGCTTTTAAGGGAGAGTGCATGAATTTATTATTTATTCATTATATTAATTGTTGAGAAGTGTAGTGCTTCTTTCTACCCTATATATATATGTGTGTGAAAGTGTGGTGCCATCTGGGAGTGTATGAGAAAACAAAGGAGAGTCGAATAAAAGAGAATCGAAAAGGTTTCTCCCAAAGAAGATGGCGACTTTGGCCAGACTATGGCTCATTGCGCCTACAATATTCTCTACTCCTTACAACATCTCAACAACGCCATCTCGTTCCCGCACCATAAAGCGCACGTTTCTATATTCGCCCTTAGGCTTCCCATCTCATACATTATTTCATACTCACACTCCCCACACACATTCATCCGCATACCAGCATTGCACTTATTATAAATAAAGTTACAATCCAAACTATATACTATAACCGCTATAATCGCTTCCAGTCTCTGTATACATATATCTATAAAAATAGCTGTATTTATATCTCTGTTCATAAAAATAAAAATTATATCTCTTTTCTCACTCGACAAATACTTTTTGATCACAGTTTTATTTTGCATTTCTTGATAAATGCTCCAATCAGTCTCGGTGGTTTGAAAGCACCCATCTCTTTGGTCTCGAAGAAATTGCTATCTTTCACTACCTTACATCTTTCCATTCTCTCCACAAACTTCACCCTTTCATTCTCGTATTTATCACATTCCCACAAAGCGTGGTCTATATCCTCCACTCTCTCACACGTCTCACAGTAGGGGTCGTTTACCATGAACTTCCTAAAGAGCGACCATCCTAAATTGTAATGATTCGCTCTAATTCTGTTTAGGCTGCAGATTGTATCCCTTCCCACCTGTCCTATTCCTGTGAACCATGGGAAGTCCTTGCCCCCATTGTTCCATCTTGCCTCATAATATTTCCTCTATCCCTCATCTTTCTCCTATAATCCTTCAGGGTATATTTCACCCAGAAATCAGCGTCTCCCAACGTTGCCTCCTTTGCCACTCTATCCGCTCTCTCATTCCCCTCTATCCCCACATGAGCCGAGATCCACGCAACCGCCACCTTTCCTCCTATCACTCCCCCATTTTCCACCCTCCAATTCCTTTTCTTTATCCTATTTCTTATTTCATCTATCATGTCTCCCTCGTCCTGCTCTCTGTTGTCGTTTGCCAGTTTTCTTATCACACTCAGGGAATCCGACATGATCAACATATTACATTCCCTATATCTACCATCCGCTATCTCCACCGCCCTGCCTACCACTATCATTTCAGCCCTGCCTACCGCTATCATCTCGATTGTGTATACCGAACATTCCGCAGGCGCGGTGAACATTTCCTCTTCCTACCTATCCCCTCCGTGCCTAATAACTATCGCTCCCCCTCCACTCTTTCTACCGTCTATTCTTGACCCATCCGTATAAATCTCTATTACTTCTTTCATGTTAAAGAATTTTTGTTTAAGTTCCCCTATCAAAACCCCCTCTCCTATAGGATTGTCAGAATATCCCACGCCCAATTCCATCTCCAGACACCTCTCCATCCTATATATTCTCCACATCCCCACATACTCTTCCCTTCCCCTTCTATACATTCCTACCCTTCTCTCCTCCAGCCTCCTCCATGCGTCAATCATCGCGTCTTTACCCTCCTCTATTTCTTCAGGAACACTATACCTGATCCTGCTTTCAACGGCCTCAATTACCCTATCATCCCTCATCCAGAACTTTCTAGCCAGATATCCCTCCACCAGCATATCCAATCTAGTTTCTAAGTTCATTATTCCCGCTTCCGTCTCCATTACATTGATTGGTGTCGAAATTCTATACCCCATGGCTATCCTTATGCCTGCATTATGTATCTTCTGAATCCTTTCCCTCATGCAGTAATGACCCCCATATTCGATTACCGATCTTATCAAGGCCTTGAAAACCCTCAAAATAGTTTCCGGTCCCGTTCCCTTTCTTATACCCCCTATACACTTAAGTAAATTTATTCTTTTCCTTAATTTCGCAATCATGTGGTCCGTGTGCTTTTTAAAGCTCAATGTTTCATCCAACCACATTCCCAAAAACTTTGCCGCGTCAATCCCTCTTATCCTTTCCCCATTAACCTCGAAGTTCTCTCTCCTATAATACATCCCTCTTCTCCTCCCCGCATATGTTGCTATTTGTGTTTTTTCTGCCGAAATTGATAAACCTATTTTAATTAAATTTTCACTTAGCCTGTTAATTGCCGTCTCTATTCTTCTTTTCCCTTCTACCCTATCCTCAAACTCTACATATATCACAATGTCATCTGCATATTGCAGAATTTTAACCCCTAACTCCCCTAAACCCTCCGCTATTTCTGCTCTATACAAATTGTACAGGAGAGGGCTGAGGACTGATCCTTGTGGTAGACCCTTCAGCAATTTCAATGGAATCACAACTCTATCCAAGCCCCTAATCTCCACCCTTCTCTCCCTTAACCAGGACAAGATGTATCTTCTGATTTTCTTCGGGCAGTCCATGTCCCTCAATTTCACAGCTACTTCCTCATGTACCACATTGTCATATGCCGCTTTGACGTCTATGAAGGCCGCGGTTACCATCTTTCCTTTCCCCCAGCATTCCTTTATGTTGTTCACCAAGATGCCAATGTTGTCCATCGTCGACCTTCCCTTTCTGAAACCGCTCTGGTTATTATCCATCTTCCCATTTTCTTCCACCCAAATTCTCATCCTTTCATTAACCAACCTTTCCAGCAGTTTTCCCATACAGTTCATCAACGATATAGGTCTTAACGCTTTTTTCTGTGGCTTTGATATAAATTTAACCACCGCCATCTTCCATCTTATTGGGATATTCCCTTTATTCCATACGTCGTTATATAGTTCCAGCATGGCTTCCCTCCAGCCCAGCGTCCATATCTTCATTACGTCGTAGCCGATCCCATCCTCTACCGGCGTCGACTTCCCCTTAACGGCTCTCAACGGCTCCTCCATCTCCAAGTCTCTCGTTATCCAGTCCTCTCTCGACTCTCCCTCCTCATCTCCCTCGTTTATCTCGCTACTTCCTCTCTCCTCGTTATTAACTGCTTCTTCTTCCTCTTCTTCTCCTAACCTACAACAATATCCCGTTTCCTCTAGTTTTCTTACCTCCTCCTCTTCCATTTTCTTTATTTCCCAGGTTCCCATATCTCTTTGGTCTTCCATTGTCACTCCCCTGGCCAGACTTTTCACTTTCTTCCACATCTCTCCGATATTTCCTTTGTATTTGATGCTTTTTATGAAATCGTGCCAAGCTTTAGTCTTTTTCCTCTTAATTGCCTCTTCCATCTTTTTCCTTGCTTCCTTTAGCCTTTCCCAATTCCCCTCTGTTGGCCTTTTTCCCATCTCCTTTGTTGCTCTTCTTCTCTCCTCCTTCAGTTCCTCACACTCTTTATCCCACCATGGCTACCTTCTAACCCTTTTCCTATTCCTATTACTGTTCCTATTTCTATTTCCATTTCTTTCTCCTCCTCCATTCCTATTCCCCCTTCCCATTCTCGGCCCTTTGTAACTTTCTTCACTTCCTATCCCCATTAACTCTACTATTTCTTTGCATCTTACCTCTATCCCCCTTCTTGATCTCACTATTTCTTTAACCTTTTCCTCACTCCTAATCAACCATTTCAACAGCTCTGTTTTGTCTACCTTCTCCATTCTATACCTCCTTCCTCTTATCCTCTCCCCCACCCAATTTGCTTCCTCTCCCCATCTAAACTCTATCGCCTGATGATCCGAGCCCCCAGTTTCTCCCGTTTCTCTTGCACTAATATCTAAAGCATTTTCTGCCGGGACTATGACTAGGTCGATGTTAGAGGCCACCTGATCTGGTCTACCTATTCTTGATAAGGTGCCAAAGTTCACTACCACCATACCCTCTTCATCAAGCACCTCTTCCAACACTTCCCCTGCAGCGTCCCCATTTTCGCAATTCCAACTCCTACTCATAGCATTAAAGTCACCTATAAATATTTTCCTTCTTCCACTTCTCGCGTCTCTGAACATTCTCCTACATTCCTCCCAATTCAATGCCGTTCCCGGTCTTCTGTATACTACAATCAATTCTAC